AACTAATTAGAGGACATTTTTCACCCCTCCAATATGGACGATTGCCGATAAAAAAAATGTCAAACAACAACAATACATTAGGAACACATTTTCAAGATGTCATATTTTAAGAAAATGCAATAAAAAACGAATTTTTGACTTCTTTTAACGAGAATGCCTGCTTGACCCTTTGACAGTCTACTATACTTACGAATTAGAGTGAATAAAATTCATATATTACACGTTTCCTTTTACCAATTACGTCGTGTGTGATTATTTTTAAAGCTCATAACCCTAAGTCACAGTTCTAACAATAATATCTCGTCCCTTTCTAACTTTCTTCCTAAAAGTCTCTCACGAGTCAAACTTCGTTATTTAACACTTTACCGACCGGTAACGGTTGAACATCCTACGCACTTCCGACCGCTCACTCGGTCACAGATACATCACTGACACCGACTCTGTTTAGACTCTAGGCTATCGCGCGGGAATATATGCGCTTTTTCTTATACCTATAGAAATGTTAAATCAAACTTTGACCGATTAATAGGCTGTCGGTAAAAAAGCGAATAATAGGTTACCGGTCGGTAAGCGTTAGTGGCAAAAAGCCAATTAACAGGCTACCGGTCGGTAAAGTGTTAATATACTGCCCGAGTTTCACTCGGGATAAACTGTCGAATGTTTGAAATATCGACCTAAAAGGCACGTTAACAAACGACAGGAACTTATTGGAAGACCGAACATTTACACAGAGACTGATTCTTCTGGTTTGTCGTGACGAGAACAATAAATATCCATGCGAATTCATCGGAGAAAATGGAATCCTGAGGATTATTTGGAAATTCTTCAGGTTCTTTTTAATACTTGGCCTGGTAAAAGTTCACGTCACGTTACGTGATACATTTACCAAGGAATCGTTCCCAGAGATGATTAGGATTCACGTCTCGATCAGGCGAAGGGACATTTCTTCGGCTGGAGGTCGTAGGGCTGAAACATTAAGGCGAACACGTAACAACGCATTTCCTCCTTTCTCCGGTGAAGTCGTGACGATGGTTTGTTAATTTTTAACGAGGCGCCACATCTTTCTTTCTTGCTTTTTCTCCTTTCTTTTTCGAAATTTAGCTGATTCGTCGAATATCGAAGTTTACGTGTCTCTGTGTCGATTGTATGCGAGAGTAAGAAACGGACGAGTTGTTTCAGAGGAAAAGTCTGCGAGTTTTCTTAGGAGAGACCGGTATTCCTCTCACGAGCGAGGGTTACTTCTTCGAATCACGAGTCCTCGCGAAATGGAAACTTGCGGCTCATCGCGTATGGAGGCTGATGCAACGAGACGTTACCTTGGATCTCCGAACGGATCGCTGATTTTTACGCGGATAAAAAGAGGTACATTCGAAGTGTTGTCGGTGGAAATTCGTGGTCGAGAAACGTTAATTTTTATCACTAGGAGAAAATTCATTTAGCGTAAGGTGCGATTTTAATAAGTTGTGAGAAACGGCAGAAACATTTTGCATTTTGTAATTTTACGCACAATCGTGATAAAGATAAATTGATCTAGAGATGCAAAGAATGTAAGTTTCATGTAAAAGAATGGTGTTTCTCGAGAGATTTTAACGGAGCTCTCGTGTATTTTGTGTATTTCCGTATGTTAATGTTGCGATTGTATAAACAGCTACTGTCGAGTTATAGTAAACAGAAAATTATTTTCTCGTGTTTTCGTATATGTAATTAGCTGTAATAAATAAACGTTATTTTTCTTCTGATTTTCGAGGAAGTGTGTGTTTTTTATTGGTTCATTTTTTCTTTTCTTTATCACAGTTGTTGTTCTTCGCAGTAT